GAGTCTGGTTTCCAAGCTCTGGGACACTTGGCCCCCAAGCTGGCTTTGGCCTAGAAGCTGGATTTTCCCACAGTTCCTCATCAGACCCACATACCTGAATGCCTGGAGAAAAATAAGGACTTAACCACTATTATATGCAGAGGATACTCCCAAGTTTACCAGCAGATAAACTCATCTGAAAAACTATTTAGGAACGTTCTCATGTCAGTTGGTTAGTGGCAGCTGTCCCAGTGCAGGCAGGGGACGAGGGTTAGAACATCAGAGGTGGGAGTGAGCTCAAGTTGGGAATCTAGCTCTAGGTCTCCACGTGGCACAGTCTCCTGTGGCTACAGATGCTTTTATTCTCTGCTGAGTCAGGCTGCTGCTGTTGTGTCTGCTCTCAAGGCCCACCTCTGCCCCCATTATCATCAGCACTCAAAGCAAATGGGCTGAAGAGCGTTCTGGCTTGGACCACGACCAGAGTGACCTGCCAACTGGGAATGGAGAAGCCTGGAATGTAGTCACCTGTGTGGATGCCTGTTGTGTGAGATCCTGGACTCCCCAGGTGGTGCAAACAGTTGAGTGGCTTGACTGCTCACCAAAAGGTTGGTGGTTCAAGATCACGCAGAGGCACCTCAGAAGACAGGCCTGGTGATCTCCTTCTGAAAAATCAACCATTGACTGTAGTAGTGGCACTACTCACTGAAAAGCAAGTTTTTACTCCACCAGACAGACACCCTGCAGGAGCTAGACAGACAATCTTCTCCTTCCACTATTGATGGCTTTGGAACGTGAAGGAGGGTCAGTGGGAGCTGGAATTTACTTGACAGCAGTTGGCTGAGTATTGTTGGGATTTTTTAATAAAAAATAAATCCTAAAGGAAAGCTTTTGCAAATTGATCTTGGGCCTTGGAGACCTCCAGCTGTATTCGTTCATTCAGTCTAGTTCTGCATGGTGCCACAGATAAGAAATCACAGCTCACAGCGATTGCAATCTTATGGTGTGTTGGCATCATGCTTCCTATACACCCTCATTTAGCCCTCAACCAACCTCATGGAGTAGGCCTTACAGGTGAGGTACTCAGGCAATGGAGAGGAGGCAGAGTTCAAGCCCCACTCAGGGCTCACGAAGGCCAAGGCCTTGTATCAGAGCGGAGAGGACAGATGGTCAACAAAAATTTACACTATCATGTGGCAACTGAGGCAGTGTGAGTGGGATTCATGGCCGTGGCTCCATTAGCCATGAGAAGTACTGTCTCAGAAAGAAAATCCAATTGCTCTGGAATCACCAGAGTCTGTCAGACACTGGGGAATCTTCTCAGTTACCTTTTCATGGGATATTAAGGGAGGTACTGGGATTTGCCTCTGGAAGTGCGAGAAGAACATTCCAAGCAAGTGCCTGGAGTTGTACTGGAGTTGGTAAGGGGACAATATAGGGAAGAAAATATTTCCTGTGGAGATTTCTTCTATTTTCCATCTCTGTTCCCTCCAGGGTGCCTTGTGAAATGCTAACCCTCCATTTCCCCTTTGCTTGCCAATCCACAGTGTCAGACCACCATCGACTCTCCCTGCTCCCCCAGCCCTCCGGTGCCTGGACGTGATGCTGGTCACATCAGCAGGCGTCTCCTGGCCACTTGCAGGAGAAAGATGAGACAGTCTCTTGTTAAGATTTACAGCATTGGAAGTCCAGAGGAGGATCACCAGTGCTTTTGTTAAGATTTGTAGACTGGAGTTCTGATGGAAGAGAGACCAGTGTGTCACCATGAGTCAAAAACAACTCAAAGGCAGTGGGTTTGGGTTTTCATCCCTGCTTTATTTGTAAGCTGTCCAATGCCATTGGCAGGGCCACAGCACCCACCTGATTTGCATAGTTTGACCCAGCATTTTGGTGGATGCTAAAAGCCGATGGTGAGAAGATAGGTCATATAAAAACAATTCATCACCCTTCTTTATGAAATACAGAATATACATTATCTGCTGTCAAGGAGGCATAACCTAGGCATTTCCATTACACAGAGGAGAAATTAGAAGGGAAAGAAGGACAAGCAAATCCTAAACCAAGCTGAGTAAATTACGTTCTTTCAAAACTTGAAAACCATCCTCTTTTCTCTTTGACCATGTGGAGAGTGGCCCAGTCCTCCAAATCCTGGGTTTTGACCATCCTTCTGGATTCTGGGTGGAGGTCCCTTGAGTCTGGCCTTTAGCTTTTCCTTCTATGTCCACTTGGATGGAAAATCTGCCCTCCCAGCTTTGGGTAGCTCTGAGTGGCAAGCCCATGCCAGCAGACCCTATTTCTCCACAATCAGGAAGAGTAAACCCACACTGAACTGAGTTGGTGAAGACCTGACTCCTTGTAACCCAGGAGGCCTTGGCCTCACCCTTTGAGACCTAAAGGCTGTGGTTCTGCCCTTTAAGACCAAGGGTGCTCTGCTTCCTATAATCTTTGTGTCTTCAGTTTCTGGTTTCCTGGCCTCTCTTGCTCCTCTTATGTCAGCCTGGCCCCTGCCTTGCTAGGGCAAATGTTACAAAGCTCTTAAGTTCCCTTGGTAGGTGATGGGGAGGCACCTTACTCTGGAATCCTCCTGCCTGAAGACATTCACCTCACTTGTTTCCTGGGTATGTGGTACTATGTCTCACCACCTGCATAATTTCCAGTGTTACAAGTCTCCTCTCTTCTTTCAGAATTCCCATCTGTAATGTCACCAACTGTCTATTCAGGGCAATCTAGTCTGTTACAGAGGGAAAACTTCAAACCCTTCCAGTCTACTCATTATGCAATTCCCAAACTTCTACATTTAGAGCGGCATTGCACTTTTCCAGTACTGAATTCTGTCTGAGTTCTCTAGCTCTGTGATAACAGAAATACCAAAGTGGCTGGCTTTAACAAACAGAAATTTCTTTTCTCACAGTTTAGGAGGTTAGAAGTCTAAATTCAGACTGCTGTCTCTAGGGGAAGACTTTCTCTTTCATGTCAGCGGCTTTATTTAGTCTCTTTTTATGTCTCAGAAGAGATGGACCATGTTCAAGCAACAATTTACATTAATCCTGCTTCATTAATACAACAGAACTCATTCCCAAATGGGATTACATCCACAGGCACAGAGGTTAGGATTTACAATGCACATATTCTAGGGGACACAATTCAATCCATAGCCATGATCATGACAGAACAGAACCCTGAAAAACTGAAAGCATGCATGACTTCAGCACCTGCCCCCAGCTCTCAGGTCTACAGGTTCAAGACAAGCCCCATTGGTGACCATGGGTTCTCAGAGGTTGAGGGAGGCTGGTATTCACACCGGAAGTGGTCTTCACCTGGTTCAAGTCATTTCAGCTCTACCTTTATGGGCTGAGCCTGCCTTATATCTTACTCATCCTCAGGTTTAGGGTGGGAAGGGTACCTAAGGGTGTCCAGTACAGAAGGGCAACTGTTGAGGGGACACAGGCCAATCCAGGCCCAGAGGGAAGCACCAGAGGTGGTGGTGCAAAACTCTAGGCAGACCCCCTTCATGAACCTATTAGGCCTGTCTGGTGAGTGACCTCCCAGTTCCTGAACTTTTCAGAAGCCCCTTCGGATCTCTTCCCTCTGAGGTCTGGTCTCTGTCCCCTAACACCTGCTTTTAGGCCTTAGGCTCTCTAGTCTTGCTAGCTAGGGACTATTCCCAGGGTCTTGATCCTGGTCCTCAGGGTACCTCCCTAATCCTTGCTCTTTTCTTCCCTCCCCAACCTCACCTGTCCCCATTGTCCTACCTGGCTAGTGACCTTCCCCAAGACCTTGACCCCCCCATCCCTGAGGGCCATGCTCAGTAGCCCTTCCCAGCCACCTCCCTCCCCCACCTCTTCTGCTCTGACCCCAAGGTCTCTAGTCCTACCTGGCTAGTGACCTTTCTGAGGATCTGGAGCCCAACCTGGTGGCCCCTATCCAGACCTCCCAGTGTCCCCCCTCTTCTCCTTGCCTGCCTTTCCTCATCTCTGATCCTCGGCCCTGGACCCCTAGTCCTACCTGGCTAGTGACCTCTGGAGGGCCTGGACCCCAGTCTGTGACCCCTGTTCAGCCCCTCCCAGTCTTCTCCCTCCCCCACCTCACCTGCCCTGCCTCATCTGCTCTGACCCCAAGGACCCTGGTCCTTAGTCCTACGTGGCTAGTGACATTTCTGAAGGTCTGGACCCCAGCCCTGTGGCCCCTGCCCAGCCCCTCCCAATGTTCCTGGCCCCCTAGTTCTACCTGGCTAGTGACGTCTCTGAGGGTCTGGACTCCAGCCTGTGGCCCCTGCCCAGCCCCTCCCAGTGTTCCTGCCCCCCTAGTTCTACCTGGCTAGTGACATCTCGGAGGGTCTGGACTCCAGCCTGTGGTCCCTGCCCAGCTCTCCCTGTGTCTTCCCTCTCCCCCTTACCTGCCCTTCCTCATCTGCTCTGACCTCAAAGGCCCAGATCCCCTAGTGATCTTCCAGAGGGTCTGGACTCCAGCCTGTGGCCCCTGCCCAGCCCTCCCTGTGTCTTCCCTCTCTCCCTCACCTGCCCTTCCTCATGTGCTCTGACCCCAAAGACCCAGGTCCCTAGTCCTACTTGGCTAGTGACCTTCCAGTGGGTCTGGCCCCCAGCCTGTGGCCCCTGCCCAGCCCCTCCCAGTGTCCCTCGCCCTCTAGTCCTACCTGGCTAGTGACCTCTCTGAGGGTCTGGACCCCAGTCTGCCCTCCCCCTCCCCCTCGTCCCTCTGCA